GCTTTAGCAACAGTCCATCCAAAACAGTAAAGAACTGTGTCATCGGCATAAAAATGCATATTAGCATCTGACACATTTTGTCCTAATTCATTAATGTACATAATAAACAGGAGGGGACCCAAGACTGAACCCTGTGGCACCCCCTTGTGTACACTGATAAAATCAGAACACAAATCATCATATTTAATACACTGAGTCCTGTTACTTAAATATTTTGACAACCAGGAAACCACATGATCTGACATTCCCAAACAATAAAGCCTGTACTTTAAGACAGCATGGTCCACAGTGTCAGAGGCTTTTCACAGRTCAATAAAAAGAGATGCACAGTACTGCTTTTTATCAAGAGCAACAATTATATCATTTATCACTTTAGTGGCTGCAGTGATGGTGCTGTGCTTTTTTCTGAAGCCTGACTGCAGTTTTGAGAGAAGTTCATTCGAATATAAAAACTCTTTTAGTGGATCGCAAACAAGAGATTCAAGCATCTTTGACAAAAAGAAATGATTATGATGCAGAAACCAAGAAGAAGAACCTGAGCAGACCGTCTCACCTTGTGTTTGAAATACTGCCTGGCATAGCTCTTCACCTGGAGGACACTACGAGTGTCCACCAGCTTGGCAATCTTAGTCCACCTGTGACCAAACTGGGCCTACAGAAACAAAACACAACTGAAAAAATAACAACATCTGGTTTTCTTTACTTCTCTACATAAATAACTGTGAAATTCTACTGTGTCGTTTTTATGTTTGCTTTATAAGAAGAGACAAAAACAAGAAAAACAACTTCAGCTGCATGTTGACAGAAATCTTACCAGTCCTTCCTCAAACAGCTGTTTCTCCTGCTTAGACCAGCGCGACGCTGAGGTGGAGCCTCTGGAAGGAGCCCTGGTGGTCCAACAAAGAGAGGAGAGGGTGACAGGGTGAAGAAAACCAGCCTCAGTGCTGGGACAGAAGAGGAGACTTACTTCTTCACTTTCAGCTTTCTGTTGGCATCACTCTGCAGAATGTTGTCAGGAACCCCCTTTCCTGTCAAATAATATCTTCAMGGACAGTTCAGGGGCTTAAAGTGACACTTTTCTTTATATTCAGAACATTAAACACATCAGGCATGTAAGCAGTGAAGTCAGTTTTAATTTAAAGGCATTCACAGGTTTACTTATAAACAACTTTACAGTATTTAGGGTATTTTCTGAATATTTTGAATGTTTATTTTTTTTAGAATAGCTAAAAGTAGCAAAGGTTTAAGCAGCCAGTTGAATATTAAAGTGTACTGAAATAAATATAGACCTAAACTTCACATGTTCATTCTACAGTTACTCAAATCTCTCTATGATCCATCTTTAACTGATATAAATAATTTGTGTAAATTCATTTATTTTATTGGGTTCAGTTTTTCTAAGAAGGTATTTATTCTAAAATCAAACTGGCTTTTTTTATGTTTTCTGCTGTAGAGGGTGAAACACAAGGCATGTCTGAGATTCTTAACCTATGGGCCACAGCGCCACCTTGAGGGCCTCAAAAGAACAACAGTTTTTAACTTTGGGCCGCAGAGGGC